GCAATTTCAGCAGCTTCTTTTACTCCTGGTGGGGTTAAATAAATTTCATTTCCATTTTCGAAATCCATTTTTCTTAGTTTTTAATAAAATATTTTACAAATTATTTTGCAGTCAAAATTTGACGTTATAATTAAAGTTCATTCAACTTTTAGATGACAGCCGCCACATAATTATAAAATGTCTAAAAATCAATGATTAAAAAGCCCCAATATGAAATGCATAGGATTTTAAGAACATTAATGTTAAAGTTAGGTTGAACCAAAAATTCTGAAAATAAATAGGGTTCTAAGTTAGAAGCAATTATTTAAGAAAATCAAAACCGCAAGTCAATCGGATCTTTTTTCTAGAGTTATCGTGCCGGCACACATACGCACGTATGGAACTCGACGATTTGTTTTGCATTTTTAGACTCAGAATGATCTAAAACGTAAAAGGTCTTAAAAACTTGGGGTAAGAAAATTTATTCGTCTGCACGAATTCAATACTGAGGCCCCATAGGAAGGGTCTCAGTAAGTAATGCGTATAAGATCACAAAACATTACATGAATAATAACACCACGGATTATATAAATATTTCATCAATATTGGCTTCCACACTGTACTAGGTACTTATTTGCATACATATCCATGACAAACTTACCTTTGAATTATAACCATTAAAGACATTTTGTGGTAGCTATCTGTTTATAAGAATAATTTAATATAGTTTATTACTACTTATGACAAATCGTGAATAGTATTTGTAGTGTCCAAACCATTTTATATTGTTTCTTGCAACAAAAAATAATATTGTTTCTTGCAAAAAAATGTAAGTTACTTTTTCAAATGTTTTAGGTTATTTTCCTGGGTTGTCTAAATTGAAAATGGTGTCATTATAGTAATTCTATCCGGGCGGTACTAGGCACCAGGAAAGTTTTTAGTTTTCTTAAGTTATTATATACAGGATGTGACAAAAGTATGTGAACTATAAAATATCTCTCAATAATGGTTTGTCCGATTAAAATGAGATTACATGATGAGTATATTAATAAAACTGTCGGACATAATAATGCATCAGCAATGTTTCAAAATTTTATAGGTTTCCGTAGGTTTAATTTATTTTAATGTTACAAATAAAGCAAAATCATGAAAATGTTTCTTCTAAATTCACTGTGCAACAATTGAAGTGGATATTTCAAGAAAGGCAAGAAAATATAATTAAAATTTTCGTTAATCATGGTAGGTAAGGTTTTGTTTTTAATACCTTGAAAACCATTTATAATAGCTATTTATGAAACCAGTTGCGAAGTGCCTTATTTTATGTAACGAGTGAATAGTTGCGGGACGAGCAGAGAGAGGTCCCGCAATATGAACAATCTGACACTGTTTATCGGTACCTCTAGCATTTATAAATAGAGCATATTTCTATACCTTTAAATTGATTAGGGACCACCTACAAAATAAAATAATTATTCATATAAAATTGTACTATGGTCAAAAAAAATTATCTTTGTTCAAATAAAACATATAATAAAATTGTCATATCGTCTGGTATAATAATTTTTCTTTAATGGTAACTACAATCTAAAATTTGTTTAAAGTTAGGTAGTTTATGTCACTGCCATAAGAGCTCATTTCTAGATGAAACCCAGTTATTGCTTAATTTGAATGGTTTTCACATAAATTTTGTCTCTGTGGAATTTCTTCTGATGACATTGTATCCATTTACGCAGTTTTCTGTTTTGGAACTTCGATTATGTCTCTTGTAGGAAACAAAAAAAATTAACAAAATTTTTGATCAATGCATAGTATAAAACACATTACTATTCTGTAAACACAGAAATAAAATATAAAATACAGTCTTAATTTACAAATAAACAAATACCATAACCTCAAAGTTTTACCTTGTTGGAGACGTTTTTCGGTAACAATTGTTAAATTGACAGATATACTTCCAATTTATATACACAATTTTTAAATAAACACTATTAAAATTGTCTTATGGGGAGTTTGACAGCTTGATTAGAAACATCGAGATAGAATGAAGTAGAGATGACAAACAATATTTTGCCATATGACAAGTGGACGCAATTTGAATTGTATTTTAATTAATTTAAAGTTATTAATTATATATTTGAAGATTGATGAAATAAAATTGTTTTTATATCATTCAAATCACGCTATTTAAAAAATGGTAATTCAAAAATGTGGACACTTTTAGTATCGTATCTTTATTTTATATCAATGATTGGAAAGGTTCGTATACCACGCCAGACTGTGACGTCATGCCTTGTTTATTTACGATGAATAATACAGCGTGGTTTTAAGCAGTCACATTGTTTGTTCATAAAACTACTTTGCAAATTTTCACTTTGAATCTTGCACATTTTACTAAATTTATGCTTTATAAACGAGAAATTTGATGAACTAAAAAGTAAAATCTAAAAAATTGATAATAAAAGACAAATATTTTGTAATCGTAAATTTGCGAAATGCAAAGTGAAAAGTTACAAAGTAGTTTTATGAAATATGCCCCTGGTTTCATAGATGTGTTGACTTTTCTTTTTAACTACGGACATTTGCGGAAACGACTGATAACTCAATGCTCAATCGGCATTGTGAACCGACAGAGACGCGGCGAGTCAGAGCGTAGGGGCGTTCCAAAAAAAATAGAGATTAACATGTATGAAAATAATAAAAATATTAAAATTGAATTTATATTTTGTTCTTATTTATGTTATTTTAAAACATATTTTTATAAAATTTAACTGGGTATTCACAGCACAAATGAATCAGTGGAGAAACAGCCCCTCAAGGGTGGCTCCGAGATGAAAATTCTTACGATTTATGGGTATTTTTTTCAAAAAAATGCTAAAAAGGGAATGGATAAAGGCAATGCCCCCATCCCCCATCCCATCCCACGAAAATTCGTTCTGGAGCCGCCATTGCAGCGCCTGCAAAAAAACAGAACCCGTTCCTTGTGTTATACATCTCCTGTCAATATAATATAATATGTATCACCCTATTAGAACTTACATCTTGTTAATTAATCTTATAACTATTCTATATTTTTGTTATGGGTCAATTTCTGTTGTGATTTTATTAAGAAGTTATTCTTGATAATATCATTGATTTAGTAATTTGTTTGTTATTATTTTGAATAAATGATAAATAAATAATCAAAATATACTTAAATTTTTTACGTTTTTTCCTTTACCTACTTGCTACAATGTACATAGATATATATCTTTTCATACAATATACAATGATTCCACTGACCGTTGACTCGAACTTTGATTAGTAACCTGAATACTATACAGGGTGAGTCGGGAGGAGCGCACCAAACTCTAGGAGTATATTATACACGTGAAAATAATGTAAAAAAACTCATATTGTCTTATCCGATTTTCATTTGTTTTCAAGTTATAGCATATTAACAAATAAACAAATTTACACATAAAAATTCTCTTAATCATAGCGTTCTTTCAATAAATGTTCAAAAATACCGCCATTGACTTCTAAACATTTTCTGCTTCGTCTACGAAGAGCGTTGGTTGCTCTCCTAATTGATTCATTTCTTTCTTCTTTACACTGACAGTTCATCAAAACGTCAGAAAGCTATCTGAACATTTTTAATTGCGCCATAACTTAAAAACAAATGAAAATCGGATAACATATGAGTTTTTTACATTATTTTCACGTGTATAATATACTCCTAGAATTTGGTGCGCTCCTCCCGACTCACCCTGTATAATTTATTCTCGTACATGCGAATGAAAAGAACAAAGTACCCTTGTGTATAAAAACTTTAGAGTAAACTAAAAGACCTTTTATTCTCTATGAAATGCGAAGTGTTGTGTTCTACTCCAAAAAAGATATCTTCCGATGTAAAGATACAATTTTTTTAGTAAATGTTCAATACATAGTGAAATAGTATTTTTTCCCACATAACTTACAAGTTCATAGTTTCGCATATGAACTAAACATCAGCAACGATTAAAAATTTCCATTGAATGATTTTATTTAAACCAAAATCTATTTGTATTTGCATATTTTTGACTAAATTTGTAACTTTTAAATAATGTATAAACTTGTTTATATTTATAATCTATTGAATTAGGTGACAAAACACTTTACGAGTTATTGATAGTCAACTACACGAAATCACGCATTTTCTTGCATTCCTTCCAAATTTGAAGTGGTACCAACAAAAGGTACCCTCGCCACGATCTCTTTTAGATAGATTGTGTTCAGCCATTGGTTGAACTATGGTTTTTAACTCGTTTACCTCCAAATAAAGTTTCTTAAGCTCATTATCTAGTGCACTTTTAATGAAATCAATCTCGCTTATTTATATGCCTTCTAGCATGTTATCGACTATATCTGCCAATTTGTTAATTTCACTTGTTTTATTATGTACTCCTAAAGTAAGACGCATATTAGAAGGTATACGCTGTAGAAATAATTCCTTGAAAGGTGCTATGTCTGCTAAATCAGATCCCCTGTTTGATAGAGTGCCATCGATGTGATTTTTTTCTGAGATCACTATGCAAAGTAGGCTTTTACACTTCGAAATTCAACCGCAAAGTTGACGTTTTCCGCGATCTAACATTAAGTAACAGCTTTGTTGCTCGCCTAATTTAAATTAGGTTTAATATAATGATATTTCTTTTTAATAAATGATTTTCAATTTATTTGTATGTATTTATTATATGTTTCTGTGCTATATTATCTCCAAGTTAACATGGTCTTTGAATATCAACTGCTATTTTCATAATGAATGTAGATATTAGGCAACACGTTAGACACCACTAACGACAAATTTTTTATTTTGCCGCTTTCGACATTGCAACTTTCTGTCTCAAGCGGCAAAGTATCACTTTCCGCTCTTAATACACAAATAGGTATTATTGGGCAAATAAAGTACGACACGTATTATCTAGCCCAAAATATGCATTTGTAATAAAGTGACACTTACGACATTTGCATATGGCACGTTTCAATAATGTTTTTTTTTTTAGTTTTTACGAGGCAGCTACAATATTAAATTGTACTTGGCATATGAAATATGGATGATGGTAATCACGATGAGCTCAAGAATAAGGGGAAACATCCACAACTAAGCTCTAACTTTGTATCGAATATATTTTTTTGGTAAGTTTAAAAAAAGATGTACCACATTTACTTTTACGATTTGTACATGAAAACATAACTCTCACAAACAAAAGAAGGAATGATTTATTCTAGTACAGACTAAGCTTGGCATACTACCACCCAAGAATACTGATCAAGGAGAAACGACACTAACTGTCGGTGCCTTTGATATCGGCTGGACTTTTTTGAATACACAACCTAATACGCTAAGAAAATCTGCTGATTTTCTACACTGAGCGAAATAACTTGGCAAGTTATCTGAAATCACTGTTATAGTCGCGCAAATGTTATAATGTGATTTACAATGAGGTAATTAGAGTAAATAATAGCAATTTCGGCACCAAAATATAATGCCTTATGTATTAATTAAATAATCAATTTAATTATTTTATATAAAAGTAAAAGTCGCTTATTATTTTATAATTATAAGATTTGTTCAATATTTGGTTTATTCATGTTAAGAAGAAATAAAACCCTCATATTTAAATTAAATTACCTTTTTCTTACGTAAAAATAAGGTAAATAAAATTAAGGGTACAAAAAAAAATTAAGTAACAATTAACAAGTCATTAAGTTTGAGCTTTTAACCAAGTACCTACTTGCAAAATGTATATTTGCAAAGCATTTAGGTTAAAAAAATTTCGATTTATTTTATATTAAAAGTACTTTCAATTTTATTACACATTTCTGTGGTAACAAGTGTTTTCACGCAAAGATAAGCCGGATGTCATTAAAGGATTGTTTTAGGGTTAGATATCCTGCGTGTATATTATAGACTAATTTTTAAAAATAGTACTTATTTGAGTATTTACCAATATTTCCAAAATCAAATTTAGTGTAATTTATTCTTTAAATGTAAATATGAATATTCAGAGTTGGGTTAAATAGGCAAAACATATTTATATTGGCGTAACTGTAACTTACAATTTAGCCATTTTGACCAATTCTAACTGAAACTACTGAAAAACCTTTCTTAAGGAGAAACGCGGATTAAATATATTTTTTATTTATACTTTTAAAATAAAATAAACAAAATCTTAAGTTTATGGTTTATTAAATTTATTTAAAAAAGACAAACATATATTTCACAAAATCCAATACCTAGCTAAGAAAAATAAAATATCAAAAATAAATAAATAAATCAATATACTTAATATCTATACATGTGATAAAATTCTTAGTTCCTTAATAACTCTTTTGGCACATTTTGTATGTGTATTAGAATACCTAAGTGTGTAAAAAATCTTATTACAACACAAAACAAACACCAAAAAATATCATTTTTAACATCAACTCACGGACTAAACACAACTTGGACTAACTTGGAGAGATGACATGATTTTAAGTGATACACAACTTATTTTCGCACATGCGCATACAAAAACGGTACACTGAAAACATCAAGCTGTCGCTGCTTCTTGGTCAGTATTCTCGACTACAACGATGTTTCGTGGATGGCTTTGAAGAGAATGGAAAGGACTGGGGAGAGCATAGATAAATTAATATGTAAGATAAACGTTAAAATGCACGGCACTGGTAACAAGTCGTAGTTCCGGCCTTACTATTTGTAAATAAGATGAAAGCAATGTTGCCAGTTTTCATTAATTTTCATGAGATTAGTGTTATTTCAAACACATTATTTTGTTATTTCGTCGTTGTTGAGTCAAAACCTCGTAACTCATATTTTGGCGTAACTGAATGTAATTTTTTTGTAGGGAGATTAATTTTAAAAATGTAAATCTTTAACCATTTGGCATCTTTTTGACTTGCCTTTTTCTATTACATAAAAAAGCTACTTTTACAAAATTAACAATTACCTACAGAAAAAAAATTAGTGTTTCCTGAAAACCTAGTAATTTTATGATACGAGGTTTTGACTACGACGACAAATTTGTTGAGCTCGACCATCCATACAATGGCCATACTATTTCTGGGATATTTTAAAGAAAGCTTTGACAACCGTGTTGACAACCTCGTTAAAATGAAAAGCAGAATAGCGGAAGGCGAAATACCATAAATAAAAGATAATTTATAATGTTTAGTTCCAAAAATAAGTCTGATGATTTGGTGTCATTAGTAAGTATTAACCAGATTAACAATTTAATTAGCCATTGGATTTTGTTTATATCATTGTTTTCTAGTATTATAATTTTATTTTGGATCAATTTTTATATTTTTTTTAATATATTTGTAACAAAACATGTCTAGTCCGGGTAAAGCTATATATTCTTGTTCAGCTCCTAATTGTTTAAAGTATTACCTATTCTTATATTCAGCAAGCTGGTTATTCAAATAAAACCATTTTTAATTTTCCTTCCAATATTAAAATTCGCAATAACTGGTTTAAGAATTTAAATTTAAGATAATAAAATTCACTATCCTTTTAAAGAGTCTTTTAGTATAAATGAAGACACGAGTCACAAAAATATTATTTCGAGAAAAGCAAGTTGAAAGTTTTACAATTGCATTAGGATATATGCCTCATGATACCTTCCTATCTGATGAATAGCAGTTATTTATCAAAATTGGAAATCGGAACTATCATAAACAAAAAATGTTAGGCCATACAAATCATTTTCTGAAAAAATTGACATGACACCTTTATCCACTTGTGTCTTCAATTGCTTCAAAATGTAAACGACTAATTGTAAATTGTGTACCAATTTTATTAGATAAATAGTTCAACTATACCCAACTATACTCAACCCGAGAGTTAGATTTTGGATGATGTTAAGGCTGAAGCACATATACAACGGCAGAAGATAGATTGGCTAATCCACAACAAAAAAAAAAACAAAATTAGTTGCAAAAGTAAACTTAGTATTAGTGATGAACAATTTAAACAACCCTCCAAATGAATAAAAACTGTATTGCTACAAAAAAATGAAATTATAGTCAAAAATTAACTCTTAACGAGAAAAATCTTTATTTGTTAGATCAACCAGAATTGATTTGTTAATTTAATGTTAAAATATAATTACAATTAACTATTGCACTATGAGAAATAAACTAATTTTAGACAAATTAAGAATAACTTGTACTTTAATGATCATGATCACATTTTAATAGGATAAATTATTGTTCAATAAGATGTAGGTATGTACACTTTTTTGTTTTTATAGAAAATACCTGACACCTGCATCGAAATTTGGTCCATTTTCCCAAGATTGAGAGACTACTATTAATTTCACTTACAATTATTGTTATTTAATATTAAGTACTTAATATGAATGTAATAAACGTTTGGATGCATTTTACTTTTATTAAATGATTAAACTATACCTAATGTTTCAAATATTTTAAGGTAATTTTGTTATTTATTTTTTTTGGAGTTTTATTAATTAAAAAAACTAATATTTATGTTAAATACAATATTTTAATGCAATTAGTATTTCTTTTAGAATAATGAATGCCAAAAAATATAAATAAATAATAAAGGATATTTGAATGAACCGCGGCTACGCTTGTCACTTTTTTTTTAATTTTCTTCTTTTACGCTCCCTCTAACTGTCAAGTCGATCAGCCAATTGTGTAGTGTGCTATGGTGGCTCCAAATAGTATGACCGGAACTACTACTTGTTATCAGTGCCGTGAATTTAAACGGTTTATCTTACTTATTAATTTATCTACGGGGAGAGGGGACAGACGGGAGTGCATGAACGGACGATAGTCTAAATCTGATGACTTCAAATTTACAAATTCGGCTGTCGTAGCTATGTGCAACGGTGGTCTAATTGATAAAGGCGCCAATGTCTGTAGTCGGTAGATCCAGGTTCGACACCTGGCCGATGCAATCATTTTTTTCACATGTCGTCTTTGGTTTTGCAAATTTTAGAAACTTCAAATTACAATATCGAGTACATAATTTGCCTTTAAGATATCCAAATACATTAACATTTACTGACTGACGTTCATTCACAAATAATGCGATCTCTATTTTCAATAATATATCAGTTGAAATAGTCTCACATTAAAAGTTTAAAAAAGAAAAATATAAAATGTGTTTGCTGGTCACGCAGTATTTTGCAAAGTTATTTATTATTTTAATCTTTTATTTATATATCGAAAGTTTTTTTTTAGAATTATTATACAAAATAGATATTATATTTTTATACTTTTGTAAACGTCAAATTGGTCGTTGATAATTGTACTTATTATTATAATTAATATTAATGTTCTGTCTGTTAAATTGTACATTTTTGTAAAAATAGTTTAAGCTAAATATATTTGGCTTCTTCAAATACCAAATTACGATACAAAACAAAGATACTAGTAAAGTACTAAGTAATGTTTTTTTTTGCAGTTGGGGTTTAAAATTATTTTATAAAGGATGGAATAAACAATTGAATGAGGACGATTTGTATAAGCCCTTCGAAGAACACGAATCTCAGTTTTTAGGAGATCAACTTGAGTCATTATGGAAAGCAGAAAAATTAGAATACGCACATCCTTGCCTCTTACGTCCGTTATGGAAGTTATTCAGAAAAGATATTGTTATCCACGCCTTTTGGGCATTCGTTTTAGAATTTATATTAAAGTAAGTAAAAATCAAGATTTTTTCTATAGAGAAAACCTGTTTTTTTAATGTTTCTTTTACAAAATATTAAAATATTTGGATTACGTAATTTTTTAAAATATTTTTGTTCTGTTTTAATATTTTATTTTTTGCACATTCTTCTCCTTTTTTTATTTCTGAAAATCCGTCTTGAAAGCGTGCTTGAAAGTTAAACAAGGAATTATACAAGGTGTCTCGAAATTAGACGAAATTAACAGCGTAGTGTACATCCTAAAATAAGAGTAAAAGTTCATTTAAACATAGGTCCAAAAACGTTTTTTTTTTCAAGATACAAGGTGTTAGAAGTGAAGGCACATTTTTGTAAATATTTTCTAAAATTTCACGATGTTGCCTTTGACACTTGCTTCTGTCCATTCTTTGCAAAAAAAAATTGCTGCTTATGTGCTGTTGTAACTCCTGTTTCATCTGCATTATACAGTATGGTTCAAATGAAAGGAATAAATTCATTATAATGGAAGTAGGTGGTTTTTCGAAAAAATGCTCGGACAGGTCAATTTTGTTTACTAAAAGCGCAATTTTTTAAATAGAATTTAATTTTCCCCCACTTCCCATTTTTGGGCAGTGACGTCATTGACAATTTTTTTAAATAGTAACCCCAATTTTTTTTTCTTGATTTTGATAGATCTTGCAATTTCCTACTCGGAAACATAATATTTGAAATATCTGACATAACAATTTTTTTTGAATAAAAGTCATATAAAGATCAGATACATAAATTTTATTTTATTTTGAAACACAATAAATAAAAGTTTATTTGTAATTAAGTGTTCATCTAAAAAAATAATAATAATAATAATAATAATAATAATAATAATAATAATAAAAAGAATTTAATGACAATTTCACAAATTATTTTTTATTATTATTATTAATTATTTTGTTAGATTAAGCACTTAATTACAAATAATTATCTTTTATTCATTTATTGTGTTCTCAAAATAAAATAAAATTTATGTGTCTGATCTTTAAATGTCTTTTATTCAAAAAAAATTGTTATGTAAGATATTTCAAATATTATGTTTCCGAGTAGGAAATTGCAAGATCTATCAAAATAAAAAAAAAAAATTGGGGTTACTATTTAAAAAAATTGTCAATGACGTCACTGCCCAAAAATGGGAAGTGGGGGAAAATTAAATTCTATTTAAAAAATTGCGCTTTTAGTAAACAAAATTGACCTGTCCGAGCATTTTTTCGAAAAACCACCTACTTCCATTATAATGAATTTATTCCCTTCATTTGAACCATACTGTATATGCAATCAGGTGTAATCTGTTCCCTTGTCATAATGGTCTTTAAATTGTCAAAAAATAGCAGCACGGTATATTTATTAAATGCAGTGGCAGGTCCTACACTCGTGGCTTCTGGTGCCCTAAGTGATAAGTTATCATGTCTTGACAAAAAACCTCTAATGCGTTGCTGCTCTATTTTTCTCCGAAGCTGTTGAAATGTTTTTGTTATTTTCAGTTGCAAAGATGTAAGCAAACTTTCTTACTGCGATTGGAGTAAGTCCATAATGTAAGTCAACGTATTTGAGCAGATATTGAACTAGCAAATATTCTTCTTGATAAGTAAACATTTGCGAAGAATTAAAGTTTGCTACAAACGATACAAGTTCGTTTGATTTAAATTTATTTACGTATCTAGATAGTGTCGTTCTATCAATATTATATTTTTTGGCGACTGTGCGGATTTTATCATAAGTACTACATATTTCCTGTACCTACTGCAGTTTCCAAAATTTCAGGATCATTAGGCAGTCTGCCTTTCGATTTCCATTTAAAAGGCATCTGCAAAAAAATTATTATTGTAGATGCTGCAGTGAAGATTTTAGCAGAAGAAGCTAAAGATTAATCTACGTTAGCCTATATTTTTTCACTTGGAAAAGAAAAAAAAATACTGGAAACCAAGTACAGATATTTTCCAATCATAATAGGAGGTTTGATCCATGTCTCAAATCTCCCACATAAAATCTGTTCATCCCTCCCCTCGTACTAGTAGCCACAACAAATTGCAATTTTCAGGTTAAAACATAATCTATCAAATAATTTAATGCATGAAAATATGTTGAATTAGTATGTTATTCGTGTAATTCATCTATATATTTCCAAATATAGTAATGTGAATAAAGAATCCTTATACATTTTGTTAAAAAACTTACATTGTTTGGCCTTTAAAACAACTTTTCACTATAACTTTCGTAAAAGACTTCGATTTGTTGTTGAACTTAGATAATGGGAAAGAAGCAATGAATAAGCATCCACTAAACAGAAAAGTAAATTTATTCAAGGATACGTTACCAATGCAGTATTTATGGCTCAAACCTGCCTCTGACTCAACCCTCCCCAGTCTCCATTACTTACGGACGATCTCTGTACAAAAAAAATATTATCCAGCCTCTCCTATTTTACCCCCCTTTCTTTTCTTTTCTTTTCTTTTCACGTCGAAATGAGATATTAACAAATAAATTCCTTGAAACCATTCAGATAACACTTCCCACTTTAACCTCTTCTAATCCCCTGTGTTAGGGAGTGGGGATAAATTTAAAACGTACATAATTTTTATCCGATCCAAATGAAAGTCGGACATCAGGAACTAGACCACAAGGGATTAAAATTTTGACCCCAGTTACTATACATAGTAAAACTTAATATTTTCGTATTCCAAAATTGACTTTCAAAACCGCCACATTTGAGAGAATTTGGAATTATCCTCATATCCCCTTCAACCACGTTTAACCCCATCATCTCTCTTACTCCCATTATCCCTCCAGTTTCCCTTATCCGTCCTGTCTCCATTATTCCTCCGGCCCCTCTTATCCCTCTTTCCCCCCTCTCCGTATCCCCTAACCCCCCGTATCCATCTTATTCTTTTTATTCCTCTAATTCCTATTCTTTCCCTCATCTTCCTCTTATCCCCTTTCGCCTTTTTTTCTTACTTTTCGCCACATATTCTTCATTATCTCTTCCTACAAGTAACAAAGGTAAATAAAAATATAAACAAAATATAAAAAAAAGTAATTGTTATTTAACATAAGTAAAATAATGACAAGGTACCCGCTAAGGTGGGATATAACCGAGTGATGGGTTTACCCCATCTCCATTTTTTAGAGGTATCAAGAGTTATCTCAAATTAAAAATTACAAATGTACATTGTGCGGGTGAGGTAGGGGACTAAAGGTCGAATCGGGTCAGACCTAACACACCACTGCCCCAAATCGCCTCTGTTAAAAAAAAAAATAAACCTTTTTATAAAAATCATTTATTGTATCAGCTTTGAAGTAATTTGACGTAATACAAAAGCCAAATGTTTTGAAAAATACTATTTATTTGTTTGGCTTTATGAAAAACAATTTTGATCACTAACTCACTACTTCTTTTTACAGATTATCCCAACCAGTTTTGTTGGGAAAACTCATAGAATACTACGATCCAGAACAAACGTCCATCTCTCTATTAGAAGCTTATCTATATTCATTATTTATAGTACTGTCGTCATTTCTATATGTATTGGTTTGTCACTGGTATCAATTATGCCTTCAACACCTTGGAATGAAAATAAGAATAGCCTGTTGTTCTCTGATTTACAGAAAAAGTTTGAAATTGAGCAAAAAAGCTTTAGTAAAAACCACCATCGGCCAAATGATTAACCTATTATCTAATGACGTGAACCGTTTTGATAATATTTTTAGGAATTTTCATTTTATATGGGTAGGACCGTTGGAAAGTTTAATCATCATGTACCTAATTTACGAAGTATCGGGTTTCACGGGATTATCAGGATTTATCATCCTATTACTTTTTATTCCATTTCAAAGTAAGTACATTTTCTATCTCATGTAGCAATTATCTACTTCAAAATTATAAATATATATAGTCCCACATCTGATTTCAAAAAGTGCCACTTTTTGCAATCAGATGAGGTATCTAGTAATACGGAAATTCGGCTTTTGTGAAATAGAGGTTAAATTTTATTACACAGCGCGTCGGGGTGTATAAAAATGTATCTTATTTTTAAAAGGTTAGTGTCTTTTTTTAATTATTATTATTATTATTATTATTACACAGCTAAAGGAATACCTTTATTTTTAATATTTGTGGATTACCTACGTCACCCTAACAAAATTTATAATTCTATTATACATATGATCTACTACGAGCAGACTTTTTGACATAATATTCGTATATACAGGATGGTACGTGTAAATAAAGTAACCCATACTTTTTATTCTATATTTTGACACTCCATACTATTGCTACCATGATAATTTAAGGAGCTTGTTACCTTACATAAATATTTTTTTGAGAAAAATTGTTATGAAGAGAGAAAAGCACATTTTTATTATTATTGTAATTAAGGAAGATTTCATATCTCTAACTTTTCTCTAACTTTTTAAGTAGTCTGGGTTCCTAACACGATTGAGACCAGGATTTATGTATTTACTCTATTTATTGGTTACCCTCTGGGATGTTATGTTGTTATGTTATGTTGAGAATGGGGTGTTAATACACTGCAACCTAAAAGATCTATTGTGCCCCCTTCTGTCGCCAATGCACTAAGGAAATGTCTCAATGCCTATAACGACCCTTCCAATCCTATTTTCTCAAGGAAGTGTAGGATTTGAAGTGGCTTCAAGTTAGGTAAATCTCCCTCTTTCATTTGATATCCTTCTAGGTATAGTGCCCTTGGATTCTGGAGTGCTACACATTTAGTTAGGATGTGAATGGAGGTTTCGTCCTCCTCCTCACAGAATCTGCACTCACTATGCTCTACTACTCTCAGTTTACTTAGGTGTCCTTTTAGTCGGCAGTGCCCGGTAAGGATCCCTGTTACAATACGTAGCCTGTTCTTGCTCAGACAGATGCAGGCTTCCGATCTTTTCTGGTTATATTCACCCAGAAGTATCTTGGCCTGTCTTAGCCCCAAGAGATTGTTCCAATTATCGGTTCTTCTACTGCCCAAATCTTTTTTAATCTCTCCTACTATTAAGTTACTGCTGATACCGCAGAACGGTTCAGGTCCTACAAAGGGTGTTTGAGCAAGACTATCTGCAATCTCGTTACCCTGTACCCCGTTATGTCCGGGGACCCAAATGAGAGTAACTCTATTTTTCTCATTTAATTGTTCTATGCATCTCCAGACCATTTTTGAGCTGATTACGTAAGAGCTCATCGCTTTGATGGCTGCTTGACTATCGGACATGATGATAATCTGTTGTCTATGACAGTTTCTTTCGATGTTAAACTGAATACACTTCTCGATGACGTGAATTTCCGCCTGGAAGATGCTTGCCTATTTTCCCAAGCTTTTGGAGTCCTCTCGAATACAGTCAGTTAAGTTTTTAATATTAAAATCCCAAATTGTAAAAGATCACAAAGATTGTGACGTAATCATAGTTTCATTCGAAAGCATGTCATTTCGTAACATATTTATTAATAGAAAAAAACTTATTACACCCCATGACCAAAAAAAATTGGAGTTTTATAACATGGAATAAAAAGTAGGGATTACTGACCTCACTACACTTACACGCAATGACCTGTTCCAATTATATGTTGTAAACCGTGGAATTTGACCTATTTTTAGAATTTTTTCAAAAAACAATACTTCCTCCTTTAATCTTTAGTAGCTTCATATATATTTTTTAATTTCAGTGTTTATGGGAAAATTAACATCAGAATTCCGACAGAAAACAGCGATAAAGACAGACCAGAGAGTGCTTTTAATGAGTGAGATTATTTGTGGAATTCAAGTTATTAAAATGTATACATGGGAAAAGGCTTTTTCTCGTCTTGTAGAAAAAGTAAGAAGGTTAGTATCTATAATTTCCTATAATATAACTAAAGTAGACCTTAAATTATGCAGCATTACATAATACTTTAACAAATAAGAGGTATAATATTCAACATGCACAAATCGCAGATATTAGTTAGGTTTTCATGTAGTAATAAACAATCACTAACATTGGAATGTCTATTAAATATTTTTATGTCATCCACTATGTCATTGACACTTGACACTTGATATTCGACATTTGACACTTGATATTCGTCACTTGACATTTAAAACCCAAAACTTGACAATAAAATACATGCAACGATGTTCTTGAGCCTTGATTCTAGATGGTACATCCCAATGTGAATTAAAGTTCTGCAGCAGCATCAGAGAACATACATTCTCAGACGTCTTTATTGTAAGAAATGAAATGAATATGAGCTCAGACCAATAATATCGTGCTACCGATTAACTTGAAAAACTTTTGGCGATTAAAATTTGTTTTTACGGAAATCCGCTGAAAATAAAAACAACAATCAATGGGAATTTTTTAAAATATCGAAAGGGAAGGATATTTATTAAAATAACCTAAAACTGCAACTTTTTTGCATTTTAAAAAATAAAATCCTAATCAAAGAGTACTTGTAACGATTTTACACACAAATATTATATATAATATTATTAGGTGACGCATCAATACATCTCTCAAAAACAAAAATTTTGAGAAATTTTTATATTTAAAAATTTCTGAAATACTGTAAAGTGAATAAGTTGAATTTATGCTATTAAAACAAGTATAAGTCTTTTGTTTAAATTTAGCATAAAAAACCTAAAAAAAAAATTTTTGAGTAGGTAGCGCCCTTTTTGTTTCATCTCAAAATTGATTAAATTTATTTGACCAAAAATATGACCATACTTAATTTAACAAGCATATTATAAAAAAACGAAATTTTAACTAAAGCCACACTATGTATCTCAGAAGTATGACCAAGTATAACCCAGTATGGCCCAGTATTATTTAGCGAAATATAATAATATTTTAAGTTTCTTAAACTATGGGTAAAATATTTACCATTTCTTATAAAACACGCTGTATAAAGAAACCATAGTATATTTTGTGTACAAAAAACTACCTCTGGGAGTGAGTGTTGAGAAAAGAAACGAGTTTAATTGTTCATTTCTGTCATTACTAATTTTTACACCTCATTTCTCAATAACTAATCATATTACTTTTAAATTTTATTATTAAACTCAAAATAAAATAATTGTAAAAAATACGCAATTTAACCGACGTAGTTTTTAAATATAGGGTGAAAGAGAAAATATTTTTTTGCAATGAAACTCTCGCCTTCATTAATTTATCAAACAAATATTTTGCGTTTACTATTTTTTATTAAAATTGTTTAAGGTGATTACAGCACCCCCTTATAATTTTCGGACAAGGATATCTCAAAAAGTAATTTTTTTAAAAAGTTATAATTTTGGCAAAATATATAAGGCAATAATATCTAGAATATGCATATATTTAAAAGTATTAATTTCTTCCAGTTTCCGAGAAAAAAATCAAAGAGCTTTAAATTTTGAATATCATAATGAAAATAAATGCATTCCTCAACATTACTATTCTTAATATAATCCCTAAATTTAAGCTCTTAATTTTTTGTTAATGATTTTTTAAAATTCGCCGAAATTAGTGGCTAAAACGCCTCGTTAAGTGCTTCTTTCTAGTGTAACGCATCTATAACTATCGTATCGTACACTCTGAGTCATCATTAGTTTCTTGCAACGATTTACACCAGTTTACACCAGTTTAAACCAGAAAATAACACTTAACAAGGCGTTTTAGCCACTAATTTCGGCGAATTTTAAAAAATCATTAACAAAATATTAACAGCTTAAATTTAGGGATTATATTAAGAATAGTAATGTTGAGGAATGCATTTATTTTCATTATGATATTTCAAAATTTAAAGCACTTTGATTTTTTTCTAGATATTATTGCCTAATATATTTTGCCAAAATTTTAACTTTTTAAAAAAATTACTTTTTGAGATATCCTTGTCCGAAAATTATAAGGGGGTGCTGTAATCACCTTAATTGTAAATTTATTTATCTTTTCAGCTCAGAAATTAACCAAATTCGGTTAAATTCGTACATTCGCGCACTCCATATGTCGTTCAATAAATTCATCACCAGAGCATCACTATTTCTATGTATTATAGTATATACATTTACGGGGAATAAACTCAACGCTGGTTATGTCTACGTAATTTCCTCATTTTACAATATTTTAAAATCGGCTATAAGTAACGATTTTCCTCAAGCCATATCTCAAACAGCCGAAGCTTTAGTCTCCGTAACTAGAATAGAAGAATTTCTTCTGTTCGATGAGGTTTACCACGATTCCACGAAGGATTCTTATAAAATTAAAAGAATTAATACTGGTACACCACTAATCCACAGTTCCGGTAAAAAGAAATCTATAGGCGTATACTTAGAGAATGTTTCAGCTAAATGGATAGATACTCAAGAAGAGAATACTTTACACACAATTAATTTTAATGTAGGTCCCCAACAGTTAGTAGCAATTGTAGGCGCAGTTGGTTCTGGAAAAACGTCTCTATTACAAACGATCATGCAGGAACTTCCTTTGAGTCAAGGAAATAAAGATGTTGTAGGAAAAATATCTTACGCTTCTCAGGAACCTTGGCTCTTTGCTGGTACTATCAAACAAAATATTTTATTCGGTGAAGTTTGGGATACCAAAAGATATGAAAGAGTGATTAAAGTGTGCGCTTTAGAAAGAGACCTTTCAATCTTATCTTTCGGTGATAAAAGTCTAGTGGGAGATCGAGGAGTTAGTTTGAGTGGTGGACAAAGAGCAAGAATCAATTTAGCAAGAGCCATTTATAAAGAAGCAGATATTTATATATTAGATGACCCACTATCTGCTGTCGATACGCACGTTGGTAAACAACTTTTCGAAGATTGTATTAGCGGCTTTTTGAGAGGTAAATGTACAGTACTCGTAACTCATCAACTCCAGTATTTAAAAAACGTTAACAGAATTTTTCTGATGGAACGCGGTACAATTGGAATCAGTGGAACCTACAAAGAAATATGCGAATCTACATGTGAATTCGCGAAATTGCTGAAGCACCATGTTGAAGAAGAAGACTGTGATGATACTATTGACGAAGAAACCTCAGATTCAAAATATTTCGATAGTGTCTCCGAAGATGAACCCTTAGCAACCAAAGAGGAACCAAACGTTGGACGTATTTCAACTAAAACATATTCTGGATATTTAAAATATGCAGGTGGCTGGTGTTATGGATTTTATGTTCTTATATTATTCATATTGACACAGTTTACCGCAAGTGGATCTGATTACTTTGTTAAAGAATGGTAAGTACTTACTTATTTTTTTTTTGTTGGAAATTCCCAAATACATTTTTTCTACACCCGTATTATAATAATGCACTTATATGCCCATAATCCGTTTCATAATGATACCCATTATGATACAGATTTTTCATTACGATACAGATTTTTAATCAATAGAAACCTACAATTTTTCAATCAAGCATGCTGTTTGACGTTTGTCCTAGGTTCCTATGTAATTATTTTAGTTGTCAAAACGTATTAAATTTTCGTAGGTAGCTAAACTTCGATAATTATAATATTAAAATGTCTGATATTAGCGATATAGAAGACTCCTCCACACATATCGGAGAAAGCAGAAAATACAGTACAAAATATTTTACCGCAAAAATCTAGGGAAATACCAATACCTGAAGTAATACCATTAATTACAATTTTGTAGAATTTTTTATAGAAATACGAGTAATTACTGTTATTGTGTTCAATACCAATATAAATATAATATTTATAGGTCTTGATTATTTATCGGGTGTAGAAAAAATAGCGTATGCAACTCTCATGTAATGATTATTAAAACACTCGCATAAACCATACGAAACTCGCCTTTGGCTCGTTTCGTATCCCGGTTAATGCTCGTGTATTAATAACCATCATTACATGATCGTTGCATAATATACTATTAAAATATGCATTGAAAACAATCACGCATGCAATAGTTTACAATTTTTGTTCTTTTTTAAATAACATTTTGGATTTTAAAATAAAAAAAGTTTTATTTCGGCCTGACGTGAAATGATTAGATTTTGGACAAAGTCGGAACATCTGGGAGGGTACTTTAGGGGAGGCCGTTTTTATATTTTATGAAATATATCTGTTATTTATGTTTGAAAAAAAAAATGTTTAAATAAAAGTTACTTCTAATATTATCTATAATTTTTGTTTTGTCAAAATTTCCTGAAATGGTCCGTATTCGAGAAATTTGACAAAATGTGCAAAATTCTGATTTTTATGAAAATTGTTAAACTAAAAGTTTTTTGCGATATCGATCTCTATAATTTTTGTTTTTACATGATTTTTCTAAAATGGACCGTAATGAAAAAATTGTAGGATATTTAAATTTTTCAGTATTTTCGTTTTCAATGAATATCTATAGAAAAATGTTTCGAGGTAGATGTATCTGGACAATGTATATATTTAGTTTATCCTCTAAACATTTATAGAGATGCTGCAATAGGTTGTACAAAATAACCGGAAAAAGCCTATAATAACTAGATAGGAAAGTCATGTGTTGGACATATCAGTTTTTTTTATATATATTGTATATATTACAATGTTATCAGCATTCGTCTCACATTCCTTTACTACCTATTATCTTCGATTTTACTTTAGAGGAGGTTAACCAAATTTTTATAAACTATTAAAATGTCACATATCAGTTTCCGAAATTTGGAGATATTCCAATATGTTTTTAAATATCATGTTTAGTTATATTAATTACAATACTTGTATATGCCATCTTATAAAGCTCATCGAGTTAGATGCTTTAAACCAGAAGGTCTTTTTTTAAATAGTTGCTAAGATATATACAGATTCGTAAATGTAAACGTTTGTTTATTGTAACCAAAATATAAATAAAACAAAATAAGGAATTACTGTATTCAATTGAATACATAGTGATTTATTATATTTCAATACATTTATGCTTATGTTTATGCTGCAACCAGTGGGGTTCCCTAGGGGTCCAATCTAGGTCCCCTGTTATTTTTATTATTTATCAACGATTTGTGTGATTCAATCTAAATTAATAGATTGATGTTTGCTGATGATTTAAAATTGTATATTTCTATATTAGTCTAGTAACCTTGTCGCCTGAAAGTACGAGGTACTTTGCATCAAATCCGGTAGTTCTAATTTTTTGCAGACTTGTTTATGATGATGGTCCAATGAATAATCTAAGTTTGTGACTTCGAGCGCCGAACGAAACTTTGTCAAAAATCGAAAAAACCGCGAAAATTTTGCACTTTTTTCAGATTTTGGCGATTATAACCCTAAAGGACTAGTTTTAAAGTAGACTAAATTTGTTACAATATGAAACTAGAATGGTCTCTGTAGACTTAATAGTTTCCGAGATAAAGCTTTTCGAAATTCATAATTTTTCGAAATTCTCAATTTTTTTGCAATATTTTAGACGTCACTCAAACAACTCGAGCGGGATGTAGTTCCAATTACCTCCGACGGAGTGTACTCATCGTCAGAGATAATCGTTGATGAGAAAACCATGGTACAGGTTACTCAACAGAAAATCTTGTCAAATGACAAAAACAAGATTCGTTTCATAAACCTGATGACAATTAAAATGGAAAATCACAACACTCAAGTACTAAAAGCAGAGGAAGATGCTGATAGGCTCAGCATCACTACAGCTATAACTGTTGCCTCTATCTATGATATAGTGATAGTGGTTGGTGAGGTTATCCTCACTGCGATCCCAAACCAACGTAAAATTGTTTACAACAAATATGGAAGAGGTAAAGCATCACATGTCAAGCATTCCAGCTTCGCCTCTTCAAAATCCTTATTGAAAACAGAACTTTTCCTCCTTATCCATGCCTTTAGTGGTTGTGACTCGACATCCTACTTCTTTGGTTTAGGGAAGAAGTAAATGATGTCCATGGTCAAAAAAAATCCGGATGTTAAAAAAGAAGTTGCGTTTTTTCTCGACACCAACTCTACAGCTGACGAGATAGCAGCAGTAGGAGACCGAGTCATAATTGCTCAATACCGAGGCAACCCCTATACCCACAACCTTGACGAGCTGTAGTACCAACTATTCGCCAGGGCTGCGATGAAAATTAGCTTCAATTTGGCCAGGTCACCTCCTACCATCAGGTACAAATTTGTCCTTGCATTCAATAATACGCATTACATCTCATTCATCACTTTTTTAACTGCTCATGTACAATCTTCTTACAGATGCAGGTGTGGTTGGGAGTCACACTGAACCCTCCCTTCTGGGGGTGGATATCCACGCACAAAGGTCTTAACCCCAAAATGATGGCTAGAGACGCAGCCCCAAAACACCTCTTGTGCATGATTTCTTGCTGTAAGAAGGGTTGTGGGAATGCGTGCAGCTGCAGGAAGGCAGGGTTGAAATGATCATCAGTCTACAGGCACTGCAGCAAGGTTTTCTGTGATAACATATCTGATGTTGCAGTAGTCGGTAGGTATTCCAGAAGGCGATGATCTGTCCGATGTCGACATGGAGGATGTCTTCTGGGCACAAGACATCGACGATACATCACCATCCCCTGATGGGGCTATGCCATCCAGATACGGACGAACCTCAACCGGGACCTTCCAAGCGGGCTAAATGATCTTAATTTATTGATTTTGAATAACTCAAATTACTAACTAATAAACCTATTCACTTTGTTGTACTTACCTTTTTTATTTCATTATTTTTAACTTAGCTTATCATTAAACATCATCGTTGACACTTCTCATTTTTTTTTTTAATATTCCATCATAAAATGTACATGGTTTCGATGGTATAACAGGGGTTACGAAGAGTCAGGGTCAAAATTCTTTCAGAACGACACAATTTTGCAAGAAAATGTGAAGTTCGAAAAAATTATAAACTTTGAAAGGCTTTATCTCGGAAACTATTGGGTCTACAGAGACAGTTCTAGTCTCATATTATAGCACATTTAGTCTACTATAAAAACTTCATAAAAAGGTACTATTAAAAACTAGTCCTTTAGGGTTATAATCGCCAAAATTTGAAAAAAATCTGAAACTTTCGCGGTTTTTTTGATTTTTGACATTATAAACAAGTCTGCAAAAAACTAGAACTACCGAATTTGACGCAAGCTCTGATTGATGTATAAAGCTACTAGACGACTATATCCAAAATACATGATTGTGTAGCATTACAAAAACAGCTTAATTCTTTACAAAATTGTGTCTTAAAAATTATCTTTTCATGAATATATATTATATAAATTTAAAATCATGATAATTTTCTCTATATTACTTTATACTGCCCTTATTCAACCAATAACATAATAGGTACTAGAACTCGCTGAAAATATTAGGGATCTGGTAGTTTTATTTTAATTATTTTTAATTAACTTTTAATATTCATATGAATTAAATTATTAATTCAACATACCATGCATATGGCTTTATTTGTGAAATCTATGAAAAATACTTTCCATTGATAACGTTCAGAACAGATTTCTAAAATTTTCAATTTTTAAAACTGATGGAGTCTATACGATTAAAGGTTATAAATTATGAGTTATGATTATAAAGATATACTATATAGGAAGCAAGGCTTTGTTTTATACTTGTTAGCATTAAGGAATTATTTTTAATTTGTTATTCATGTCTATAAGATAACTTCCAGACAAAATAATACATTTCAGTGAAAAAGATCTCTAAATTTTATATGGAGTAAAGCTAACAAAACATCAGAATGTATGATTAAAATTGAGTGGTTCAGTGCCAGATTTGCCTAAAGAACAATTTATTAAAAGTGAATAAATTGAGATCAAAGCACGTGTATTTACTAAATATAACTGTCCAATGTTTAGGTATAGATGCTGGTACCGAAAACGAGTAATTATAACAAATAGGCAATTTCGTATATTTATTGTATTTCTGTATAGAAATAATTTTAAAATAATACGAAGACCGGTTGTTTTGAAATTTTGTTTGTTAGACAACCATTCAATTGTATAAGAAAATGTATTTTCTTGTCGTTATTGATTAAAAAAAATCACATTTTAGGGTTAACATAGAACAAGAAAAATATCAAAATGAAGAGGGAGAACGATTGATGCTTCAAGCCTATTTAGATGATGTGCAAATGGAAGAAAACTATACAAAACTTTTTGATTTCAAGATCCCGACAGAATCAGCAGAATCGAAATTCCTAACAACAAATCATTGCATTTACATTTACAGTGTCATTATCGTCTCTGTAATAGTAGTTACAATACTAAGATCTATTACTTTCTATAAAATGTGTATTAAAGCATCTATTAGACTTCACAATATCACTTTTACTAAAGTTTGTAATGGAACGATGTTCTTTTTTAACACAAATCAATCTGGTCGCATTTTAAATCGATTTGCAAAAGATATGGGATGTATAGATGAAATGTTACCAAATTATCTAGTGGATACTATTCAGGTAAGTTTTTTGAAAATATAGGAACATTCAAATTAAAATGAGCTCTTGACTATACCAATAAATGTACCAATAAAAACTCCCAGGCCTGTTATTTTAGTAAGTAATAGAGATATTTTAATTCTGTAGAAGCCAGTTCATAGAGCACTAAGGGAGCTTCAATTTTAGATACAAATTAATTTTAAATAGGTCAATATGTAGATGGCGCTGCGCTTAATATATATATATTTTTTTTCGATGAGAGGATCTTTCTTATATAGCGCATCTTGTGAAAATAGGAATTTTAAAGATTTTGTTTTATAAACTAATTCGATAAATCTAGCTATTTTTGATATACAGAGTGGGCCACTCAAAACAGTTTCATCCTGTTTTTCGGCATTAATTATTAGATTTTGGGAAAATGCTAAAACAGGTCGATTTTTATTCCAAATTGAACACTTTTTTACAATACAGACATCTGCCATGTGTAAACCCCCTCCCTTCCAACCCGTTAATTTTAAATAAGGAATATACCATGTACGGCACATCATTTAAAATGTAATTTTATGGAAAAAAAAGAAATATGACTATTTATTGCGATACTTTTGATTTTAGCGCCCTCTATCGGAATAAAAATGAATTATAAAGTGTGATACTTCATTTGAAAGCTAATTTAATTACTAATTTAAAACACCACATAACGTTTATATAAATATTATCATATTGCACCTGCAACAAAATAAAGTTAGAAATAATATTTAAAATAATGTATGACTAATTTTCAAACTATTGCAAGTGCAATATGGAGGATATTTATATTTATAGTATTATGTGGTGCATTGAATAAGTAATTAAATTTGCTTTTAAATAAGGTATCATACTTTATAAACCGGTGTTTAATATGTACACTTTTTTATTCCGATAGAGGGCGGTACATTTAAGTGTCGCAATAAACAGTCATATTTCTACACATGGTATTGTCACACTTTATAATACGTAAAAGTTTTTTATTCCACTAGAGGGCGGAAAAAGTTAAGTAACGCTATGTACAGATTTTGAATCGTCCATTAAATTACCATGGTACATTACCTATTTAAAAGTAAGGTGATAAAGAAATGAAAGGGGAGGGTTGATACTTATTGTAAAAATGTGTTTAGTTTGGAATAAAAATCGACCTCTTTTAGCATTTTCTTAAAATCCAATTATTAATGCTGAAAAACAGAATCTGTTTTAAGTGATCCACTCTGTATATCAAAAATTGCTAGATTTATCGAATTAGTTCATAAAACAAAAGCAGCTTAAAAATGCATTTTTACAAGATGCGTTACACAAGAGAGATGCTCTCATCGAAAAAAAATTATAGAGCGCAGCGCCATCTACATATTGACTTGTTTAAAATCAATTTATATGTAAAACTGAAGCTCTCTTAAACTGGCTTTTACAGATTTAAAATATATCTATTTCTTACCAAGTTTTTATTGGTTCACCCTGTACATATAAGTCTTCAATTTAAGTCTCTTTTCAATAATTTTTCCTTGTCTTTAGCATGATATTCAGTAATTCCTCGGTAATTTTTACATTCTTCATTGTCCTCTTTTTTGTAAGAAGGTGATAATATTCTTTTCCTACGACCACTTAAGAAAGTGACACATTTCACACTATATAGTCCTATGGAAAGTGCCCTATATCACACGTGTATGAATAAGAATTTACTTTCCACCCCAGTGCGAATATACTACTTTCCGCATTAGCTGTCACAAAATGTCAAACGCATCATTTCTGTTTTGATCTATGTAATGTCCATATTAATAGTAAAATCGATATGATTGTTAAATTATTGAAATTGTTGTAAATTAGATACTAGATATTTATCTTTAACAATTATTATTAAAATAATTTTAAAATAACTAAGTTTGCTTTTTATTCTGCTTGAACATAAATTATAACCGATTAGATCATTCAATTGACGCAAGGTGGGAGAGTATCAAAATTTATCATTTTTGCCATTTGAGACCTGGCGAGCGACCGCGTTCAAATCCTCGCGGGGGCAGGTTTTTTTTTTTTTTTTTTTTTTTTTTTTTTTTTTTAGAAAATTTTAAAATTGAATAAATACGATTATTGTTGATTATTATTTTAAATACATTTTAATTATTATAATAATAACATAGTTTTACATTATTTGAAGAAATTATTTTGTGGTCGTAGGAAAAATATTGTTCATCACTGATGTAAAAAGTGATTTTGTGCCTCATGCGACAGTATTTCCCACTCGTGTAAAAAATGTCACTTTCCACACTCGTAATGTAATATACTATACTTCACAATTTTCAGGTATTTTTTCCATATTTTGTTAGGTAAATAATATTTTTGAAACACTATTGTTATTTTAAAAATAAATAATTATTCCTTTTTAAATAGTATAGGAATTTTTTTCTCACTTTATCACTAACTTCCTCTTGGTTGTGCATTTCAATTTCTTCACCGTCTCCTGGATTTTGGATTTGTCAAAAGCATCAACTTTTTCTCTTTGCTTACATCCCAGGTGTTGTTCGTATTGGATGTATGTGTTGGATTGGTTTATGAATTTTTTTTAAAGAGCTTTCCGTAATGGGTAATCAGTGATTTGGTCATGTAATATTTATTGGTTGACAACTAGGGTTGCTACCTGTCCGTTTTTGAAGCAAGGAGGATTTTTTTTTAGAAGTTCAGTAGAAGGATGAAGACTTTTGGTATACCGGAGCCCCTGTCAGCATCGTAGTCCTTTATTAACTTTTTAAAAAGGTGGGAACTAGTGATGCCGCGAGACGAGAGATTCTCGTCTCTCGTCTCGTCTTGTCTCGTCTCGAACGAGACGAGAGAGTAATTTTCTCTCGAAAAAATATTCGAGACGAGACGAGAGAGTGTATTTTCTCGACGAGAATTTCTCGTTTCTCTCGAACTCTCTCGAGTTCTCTCGCGCAATTAACTTTTTACTTCTTTAAAATTTTCAATTACTCATCGTAACTTAATATTTAAAAATATTTGATTTCCAGATAGTCAAAAAGTTAACTATAAAACACCTATTCTATATATACAGTGAGTTTTAAGAATGGAACGCCTCAATTATCTCGGAAACGGCTTGTATGATTTTTATTTATGGTGACCCGTCAAATGCGCACCGAAAAAACGCTCCGACAAAAGCACAAATGCGCTTCCCAACAAAAGCGCCATCCGAAATTTCTTTATATAAAAAACTAACCAACGGAGAGAATGGTAATAATTTCTATGCAGTCAAATTTTTCGGAGGTTACTTTTGGAGATAAAGTAGAAAGACAACAATTTTTAAGTGGTTTTTCGAAAAACTGTCAAAGAAAAAGTAAAAGAAACGAATGTTTAATATATTGTTAACATGCTTCAAAATGCTTTCATTTGGTATCACACGAAAAAAATTCTAACTTTCAAATGAAATCCAACCCCCCTCCCAACTGACTTCTAAGACAAAGTATTTATAGCCGAGGCAGAAGTTGGAAAGGCTTTTACTAGTTCTCCTACTTCATACACATAACGTGACAGGTTTGCGGCGGATATAACCGAAGTGGACGCAATACATTGGCGTAAAAAATTATTTTTTAGATGTTAATAACATTTTTGAGTAAACAGTTTAATAAATTGTGAATAGCTGTTGAAATTTTGGAGAATTAGGATTTTGGTATTATAATACATGTTTATTAATTAATTATAGTCATTAAATACATGCGATTGCCCAGTTCTTATTCTATGAAGTGACACTAGCAGGTAAACATTACTGCAAAATTCTCGAAGTCGTCCGACGTGGTTATACGTTTACCCCCTCTCTACCTACTAAAAGCCTTTCCAACTTCTGCCTCTGCTATACATTCTTAGTTAACGTCCAATTTGGGTCACTGATTACTTTAAATTTCAATTGTTTATGTCGACTAGTGTCTAAGTAAAACGATTGTGACAGACGGACAAGCAGAGAGATACCAAGATAATTTCCCTAAGTGTTTCTTATTGCCAATTTGGGTACTGATGAGACAAATTACTTGAAAAATTATTTGTTAAAAATTTTACAGTTTTCTCATGTTTCATTCTAAGTATATCTTTTCCAAATTTAAATTTGATATGTTTTTATCACGAGAGAAACGAGACGAGACAAGACGAGACGAGAGAATGGCTCTCTCGAGCGAGAGAAGCGCCTTCTCGTCGAGAAGAGAGAACAGTTTTCTCTCGCCCTACGAGACGAGACGAGAGAGGCCACTCTCTCGTCTCACCTCGTCTCGCGGCATCACTAGTGGGAACCCTAGTTGACACATTTTTAATATATTCTCTCTTTTTGTAGCTGTTGTGTTAGTCTATTTAATTTGTTTTTGTTCTTTTCAGTTCTCATTTTTTGCCACTTCTTTCGAGCCTTCCTATTATTTTGTAATAAATCCGTTATTCCTTTGGGGTAATTAATACCTATGGTTTTCCTTTGTATTTGTGGTGTATTATTTATTCCATGCAGCTTATTGGATATTAACCTTAAATAATTCCGTTTCTCTATCCAAATCTTCCATTGTCCTAATTGGGACATTTAATTCAATTTGTTCAGCAAGTTTAAGTTAAATTTTTTTCCAGTCTGTATGTTTGTTCGTCAGTATGGAGTTCTCTAGTGATAATATTTTCACTAATCCTAGGAGAATTGGAGAGTGATCAGATATTAATTCCTCAATATCTTTTATCTTCATAAAATTTGCTGCAATATTTCTAGAAGTAAAAAAAGTCCTCGTTCAGATCTTTTCCTTTGGTTGCAGTAAGTCTTGATCCCTAGTAGACATATTTTGCATTAAAATCAGCACCTAATATAAATTGTTCGACAAGACTTAACAAGAAGTTGTTGTAGTCTTCTCTTTTGAGAATATATCAGGGTGCGAATTTTTTTTGTTTTAACAGATACGTTAACAGCTTGTATTTCTTCAGTTTCACATTTCCCTCGTCCATAGTATGGTATATTATTTTTAATAATAATAGAAGCTCCACCTTGGGCAGAATTGTTTGGATGGATGGCATTTTAGAACTGATATCCTTTTAATTTGTCGTGCGTATGTTTCGTAAAACGTGTTTCTGCTATTAGGCGGCATATTATTCCATATGTTTTATCTCTAAGGTCGCTAATAACTCTTGCTGGTGATGTGTTCCATTCGAGAATCGTAAGGTCATGAGCCATTTTCTCTTTTATCCTCTTTTATTAATATTTTTAGTCTGTTAAGCCTTTCTAGAACTTTTTTGTTAAATTCTTCCTTATTCTCCATTTGATTCATTATTTTTTGTAGCATTGAAGTTATAGGATCAGCACTGATCTCTACTGTCGGTTGTGTTTCACTACTTGCTACTTAGGCATAAGGTATACCAGCCTCCATTATTGTTTGTAGCCTTCTTACAGTTTTCTCTAAATTTCCTTGGTTCACTTGGAATGAGGAATGATATTATAAATTCATCATCTAAATTCTTACAGTTAATTAAAAAATATAAATCAGATTTTCGTTATTTCAAGAAAATTTGCACTTTAGAAAATGTGTTATTTTACAATCATACGTTTTAATTAAGGATGGCTTACTCCTTTTTTTACTTATTTTCGTAAAAAGAAGTCGAAATGATTTCAACAAGGCAAATAATTTTGAATGAGTAAGTAAACTGCTTTTTTTTTTTGTTTCATGAAATGTATTTATATTTCTTTCAGATTGCTTTAAACGTACTAGCTGTTAACATTGTGATAGCAACAGTTAATCCTTGGATATTACTTCCAACACTGGTGATCGGCGTTATATTTTATTTATTTAAAATTGTGTACGTTTCTTCAAGTAGGAACCTCAAAAGGATGGAGGCAACAAGTAAGAATTTTCAGTTATTTTTATAGTGTGTACAAAAAGTAACGTATTATTGTCACGCTATGTATAAATTCATATTTTTTCCAATTATAATTAATTATTTAAATAACATCCTGTACATAAAACTTTGTATAATTATGTCTTCAATTTGTTTTAATTCGTAAACATGTGCAAGGATGATTATTTAATAATTATTAAACATTAGTTTAATAACAATATGCGGGAGTTATAAAAGTAATCTCGAGGAGAAACACAGGGCTTTTTCCGCAGGGCAGGATCCTCCCCATAGGAGCCCCCCCTTGTAATATATTCCCAGTACCGGCTCTAGATCACTGAGACTCCGATAGAAGGCTCTGGATCTCTATCGTAAGAATTAAAAGTCTTCTTTGTATTTGAATCGCGGTTTTAACAGTTAGTCGAAAGTTATGACGTGTGCCCAAAATATTAGAGTTGGAGAATTAATATTTTATTGTCTATTTTTAATTATATTGAGCCTCATATTCGTGTTAGTCGAGTTATATTATATAGAACGTGATATTATTTTGATTTCTGATAGGTGTACATATTTCATTTTTTTTGTACTCTATTAAATTTAAAATACAAACATTAAAATAGAATAATTATAACATTTAATTGGATGGATGGATGGATTTAATTTTTCCTTGTTCTATCTGGCAGTATCCAACTCTATTGTTAAACGCTAGTATGAAATTACGCCACTGATTATTTTATTTGAGAACGAAAGACTGAAAATATATACAGGATAAATAGGATGTCATGTAAACTGTTAAATACGTCATCACCCGGTGATACCAATTTTCCCATTGCCCCAATTCTCCTCATGTCCTCCCTAATGCAGTATACTATCACCTGTGACATCAACCAGTGATACCAATTCCTCCATGCTCCCTAATTCACCAAATTAGCGTGATCCATCGTGTCTTGTTGACGATACTACTGCGCATGATTTGCAATTTATTATATATATCGTCGGGTTACTGCCAAAACAAAATAAGTACTTTTTTAATTTTTGAGTGACTGTCTAACAGTAAAAATGTCTAAACTATGTACTGCCAAAACCAGATAATTATATTAAAAGCGTTATACGTTGATACGCATGAGCGGATAAAAAACTAAATGCATTACAAGAATCATATTGGCAGCTAAAACAAGACAAGTGCATTTATGTTAGGTTTAAAAATTATTTTAATTTTACTACTGAAATTGTGTAGCAGTGATGTTATCCCAGAAGAATACCATCAATATTACAAATCCTTGCCTACCTCTAAAGAGGTAAAAGATTTAGTTCCAGAGCTAGCAGCTGAAGATTTTGATATAGAAGAACTTCCTTTACGAAAGCAGGATAAATGAAACAAAAACATGTACTTATACATCCAAAAGAAGATAAGTGCACAAAAAAAGTGTGTTTCTACTAAATACTTTGGTAGGAATAACGTCTATAAAAAAAAGAAAATTAAACTTTTTATCGTCATAATTTTGGCAATATATTTTTAGTCCTCTTATGCAGACTTTCACTTTCACTCTTATGCTGATTTTAAATCTCATTTCCCTTTAAATTTCAATCTGAAGTTTCATTTTTGATTTTACTATATCTAGTCTGGAACCCAGAGGTTCCTAGACATCGAATTACTTAAAGATACCAAATAAAGCAAGTGGAGGAATCTAACCAACCAATCCATCTCTTTGAGATTAAAACAACTGGAGACTCAACTCATGGTTAACAGCCAGAAGACCTAGAAAAAGCTAAGAATAATATTTAAATACTAACTTTATATACACCTAATCATTTTTTTATGCATTTATCTTTTCACCCGATTGGTGACGTTCACATACTATTTGCTTTGATTTTATAAAATTTATTGTACCATTTAATCTAATTTTATTAATATCATATATTGACAATTTATTTCTAGAAATAAACTACGTCTTACCGTAGGTTGTTACAGCAATTACTAAACTTAATTCATTGCTTTATATGGGTAAAAGCTCTTCAAACCTTTAAAACTTCAGATTATCTTCGATTTGTGATTGCTTTTCAAACTACCTAAAATCATTTATATTTATATAAAATAATAATTAAATTATATAATTACTCAAGTGTTTATAATCCAGTTGTGCTTATTTATTTGAAACCATAAAATATATATCTACTCTCAACACTAAATAGAAAATATTCCGCACTATTTTTGTTTTCTTAAAAGAACCCAAATCTGTTTTCAAAGCATAACTGTTCTTAATCCAGTACATCAGTTCCTAAGTAAAAACGAAATTTTTCGTCTATACCTGATTTTCCTAAAATGTTAAAGTTTTAAACATTAATAACGCAAAACTATAAAAATATAACTTATCTTGTTTTAGCAGTAACCCGACGATATGTCATTTAACATTGAATATAATTTTCCCCGTACAAATTGATTCAATATTAACGAAGTTAGACGCTTCGGGTCACCTATCACTCACCTGTTATCTGTCACGTCACCTGTCATGTTATCTGTTACTGTTGAACTTTTCGAATATCCCCGTATATGTCTACGTTAACGTGAAGCCTTGACGTTGTATACCCTCCCTATCTTGATACTTATGACCACTTAAGGTACCAGAAATGTAACACTAGAGGTCTGGTTCAATTAGAATATTGGGACAGCGCAGAATCGTGGTATCAGTGATCGTTGTTGGAACAGACTTTAGATAACCAGATAGCTGCATTTATCTAAGACAGTATAGGATATATTTTTATAAACAGTATATTCTTTTTTTTAGCAAGAAGTCCTGTTTTTTCGCATATCCAGGCATCTCTACAAGGACTAACGACAGTAAGAGCATTTGAAGCTCAGTCAATTTTAAGGCAAGAATTTGATAAACATCAAGATTTACATAGTTCAGCATACTACCTCTTTCTGTGTTCTAATAGAACATTTGGATTCTGGTTAGATCTGTTATGTGTTTTGTATATTGGATTGGTTACTTTCAGTTTCTTCGTTTTTGGAAATGGTAAGAGGAAATTTTCTATTTCATTAACAAACATATACATTTCATTATAATGACAATCGAGAAGACAAATATAGTTTCTTTTAAGTAAGGATTATTTTGAAATTAACTTAATATCAAATCAATCGCCTTAAAAATTAAGGAGAATACATTTCCAGTGCATGTTTGAACTTCTTACAATTATGTATGTAAATTGTTTTTTATTTACTATATTTAATTTGAACAGTCTACCAACCAGTTTTAAATTGTTTATATTTCATTCAGCTTATGGAGGAAACGTTGGTCTAGCAATAACACAGGCGATAAGCTTAACCGGTATGTTCCAATGGGGTATGCGTCAATGGAGCGAACTAGATAACTCAATGACTTCTGTAGAAAGAGTTCTGGAATATACAGAAATAAAACAAGAAATTCACAACAATCAAAAAGAACCACCCAAACGGTGGCCTGAACATGGTGTGCTAGAATTCCAGTCCGTTTACCTCAGATACGCAACCAATTTACCATACGTTCTGAATAACCTCACTTTCAAAATAAAACCAAGAGAAAAAGTTGGAATAGTTGGTCGAACGGGTGCAGGTAAATCAACACTAATATCTGCCCTATTTCGTCTGGCTGATATTGAAGGAAAAATCTTAATTGACGGTATTTGCACATCGGATATACCCTTAAAAAGCATGAGATCAAAAATTGCTATTATACCTCAAGAACCGGTGCTGTTTTCCGGGACGCTACGATCAAATCTTGATCCTCTGGATGAATACACTGATTGGGATTTATGGAGAGCATTAGATGAAGTTGCGTTAAAAGGTATTTATATCACTATTGAATTTATTTTTTCTTTCTACTGAACTCGTCAGGTTTTTAGTAAATACTAATAGATATTTTTTTACACACATATTAGCTATTCTACGCACAGAAAAAACACTGCACGGATATGAAATCCACCAATCACAGTTCGTATTTGGTCATCAGGCTATTATTTTTTAAATTTTAAATAAGTGACAATTCTGCCAAACTAATTGTTAAGTGTACATTTTTTTAGTTATGGAGATTAAATGTAATTTAATTCAGTTATTTTTGTGAAAAATCAATAAACACTAGTATTTCACGTGGATAGCGTACTGAGTTTTCATGCGAAAGGTCCCGGGTTCAAATCTCAAATTATTACATAAAAATCATTTTTTTTAAGTTTATTTTATTTTATAATTTATAAAATAGTAAAAATCATAAATAATTTTTTCTAATTAACCTAAATTAATTTTTAAATTTTTGTTAGTGTTGGTTAAACTAGTATTTAGCAATTTTTAACTAAAATCAGGTCTTTGGTTTGTGAGATACAGATAGTGTCCCCCCCGTCACTGAGAATGTAGAAATATTAATTATCCAACTTATATTACAATTACAAATTTATTTTTAAAATTTTGATATTTGCAGAAGTCGTATCTGAAATGCAACTGGGTCTAGAAAGCAAAATTAGCGAGGGAGGATCAAATTTCAGTCTTGGGCAACGTCAACTAGTGTGTTTGGCAAGAGCTCTCATTCGACAGAACAAAATTTTAGTATTAGATGAAGCTACTGCCAATGTAGATCCTAAAACGGATGCTTTAATTCAATCAACAATTAGAAATAAATTTGCCAGTTGTACTGTTCTTACAATTGCTCATAGGTAAGTTTAACGTAATAAAGAAAAATATTGTTTCAAGTTTTTATCATATTTATTTTTATCTACGTTCAATTTTAACTGTTTTAAAATAATTATTAAATAAACTGCAATAATTATTAGTTATTTAATTAATTTATAATGTTTTAAGTATACCTTCTGTTATTCATATATGTAGTGCTTCGTACTACATATTACTCTTCTCTCTGTCATAATTACGTTGATAGATAAATGTTATAACCTTAAACCAGTCATCTCCACTTTGTCATTTCGACGTTTTATTTTGTTATGTGAATGGCACTTTAGAATGTTTCGTGGTGGCATGAGACTCAATCCTGTTTCCTGCCAATGTCATAGAATTTCAAAGTTGATGACATTGGAAGTCACATCTGTTTTTGATTTGTGGTGTAGTAGGTGGAAAAACAATGGAGTGTGTGGTGGATAGCTGTGAAAAAAAAAAAAAAGAAAGAGCAGAACAGAAGAGACAAGAAACATCAACAAATTATTATTTTTATTTTTACATTTTTTCGAAGTAACATGTTCTTGACCTTTTTAATAAAAGAATTTTAAAAAAGAAATTTTAATTATATAGTTATTTTGGTACAGAGAATACCTATATAATATTGGTGACCCCTCGATCAGAACACAAAATTGTACGAGCAACGGAACGAGAAACAGTACGAGGAATTGTACGAGCAACGGTACGAGAAACGGTACGAGCAACAGTACAAGATACCCATCGGATTTCGGCGTAGAAGATAGAAATAAGAATCTCATCAGGTCCAGGTGATCAAGTCAGAAAATCAGATAGAACAACCACATCAGCAACATCTCTACGAGATATACTTCAAGGTTTTTGTTTTTTTGCCTGCTATACCGCAGGTCAAGAGCGAAATATTGCAAGAGGTGAGTTTTGAGTTACTACTTAATGTTTTAAAGTTGCCATTTGTGTTTGACAATAAAATGCCGAATAACGAAACAGAGTCAGAGACTGGTTGTGTCGAAAATTTAAATCACATTAAATTACCTCCTTTCTGGTCATCAAAACCTGAATTATGGTTCAAACAAATTGAAAGCCAATTTTTTATTCATAAAATTAATTCAGATAAAAGTAAATATCATCTCACTGTAGCAAACTTACCGATAGATATTTTTAGTGAAGTTATAGATGTAATTAATAATCCACCAAATTCAAACATGTATGAATCCCTAAAAGGAATAATAATTAACCGATTGACTTTATCAGAAGAGGCTCGTTTAGATAAGTTAATTTCTAGATCAGAACTAGGAGATAAACGTCCATCAAATTTCTTTAGAGAATTATTACAAATCTCTGGAGACAAAATTATTGATGAGAAATTACTAATTAAATTATGGCGGAGACGTTTACCTGCAGTTATTGATATAGCTTTAACAGCATCTGGGAAAGACGACGTGACTGAATTATTGAAACTTTCAGATAAAATTTGGGAATCTCAAAATTCAAAAATGAATATAAACGAAATTCAAGGTCCAAGTACACAAACTGACAATACATTTTTAGTTAAATTTATGACAGATTTCAACAATTCTTGTCAAACTTTATTAAAAACAATCCTTGACAAACAAATTAAATTAGAAAACGAGGTAAGCTCAATTAAGCAAGAAAACCTGTCTTCTCACAGACGAAATGATAATCAGTGTCATTCTTGTCGTCACAGATCAAAAAGTAGGAACAGATATAATAACGATTCTGACAAATTATTATGCTCATATCATAAACGTTTTAAATTGAAAGCATTTAAATGTAATGGCCCACCTTGTTTATTATATGATTCATTTAAAAATAAATCAAAAAACGAATAAGATCAACTATGAACTGTTTGGGAGAAGGAAACATATCTTCAAAAAGACTTTTTGTTTTTGACAAAATCAATAATTTAAATTTTTTAATTGATAGTGGAGCAGAAGTCAGTGTTTTACCAAAAAATATTTTCAAAGGTAATGATAAAGATAACAATTTTTTATTAACGTCAGCATCAGGCAATAAAATTTCTACTTTTGGGAAAAAACTATTAAAAATAGATTTAGGTTTACGTAGAGAATTTCTTTTCGTTTTTATTATTGCTGATATTTGCAAACCAATATTAGGTGCTGATTTTCTAACACATTTTGGATTGCTAGTTGATTTAAAAAATAAGAGAATTTTAGATAACGAAACTTCACTAAGCTCAAAAGGTAAAATTATGAATATAGACAAAGTAGATTTTCCCAAACTTTTTATAGTTGAAAATAAATATACGGAAATTTTTAAAAAATACACTAATATATTTTCATCACCTAATTTTCATTTACCAATTAAACATAACATAGAACATCATATTATTACAGATGGACATTTACCTTACTGTAGACCAAGACGTCTAGATACACAAAAATTTAATATTGCCAAAAAAGAATTTGATAATATGATAGAATTAGGTATATGCCGTCCTTCTTCGTCATGTGTGACATCACCGTTACACATGGTGCCTAAGAAAGATACAGCCGATTGGCGTCCTTGTGGCGATTATCGTTTCTTAAACAAATTAACAATCCCTGAAAGATACCCATTATCGTTAATATCCGATGTTAACATTAAAATCCATGGATGCACCATTTTTTCTAAAATAGATTTAGTGAGAGCATATCATCAAATTCCTGTCGCAAAAGAAGACATTTTTAAGACCGCCATTACTACTCCATTTGGAGCTTTTGAATTTTTAAGAATGCCTTTTGGATTAAGAAACGCAGGAAATACGTTTCAGAGATTTATCAATGAAGTAACTAGAGGTCTTGATTTTATTTACGTTTATTTAGATGACATTTTGATATTTAGTAAAAACGAAGAAGATCATTTGAAACAGCTGGACATTCTGTTTAATAGGTTAGATTCTTTTGGCGTAAATGTCAATCCTTCAAAATGCATGTTTGGCGTCAAAGAAATTAATTTTTTGGGTTACAATATCTCTGCTAAAGGAATGTTACCTACAGAGGAAAAAGTTAAAGCAATAAAAGATTATAAAAAACCAGCTACTCTTAAACAATTGCAACGATTTATAGGTATGATAAATTTTTACCATAAATTTGTTCCTAAATTTGCTCAAATTATTTGCCCATTGCATGAATTTGTTGCTTATCTTAATAAAAATAAATTCAAAAATATAGAAAATTGGCCTGAGGAATACGAAAGAAGTTTTAATGAAGCCAAAGACGCGCTTATTAAAGCCTCTTTACTCGTACATCCACAAGAAGGTGCCGAACTATCGTTAACCACTGATGCCAGCAATTCATGCATAGGTGGTGTATTAGAACAAACTATAAATAATGTTAGGCAACCATTAGCTTATTTCTCTAAAAAACTTTCAAAATCACAAATCAATTATAGTGTATTCGATAAAGAACTATATGCGATTTACATGTCAATTAAACATTTTAGACATATGCTTGAAGCAATGGATTTCAAAGTTTTTACCGATCATAAACCAATTGAAAGAGCAATCCATTCAAAATCAGAAAAATCACCACGACAATTTCGTTATATCGAATATATTTTACAGTTCACTAACAAAATAATTTATGTTGGTAGCAAAAATGTAAGAGTGGCCGATTTTTTAAGTCGTATTGAAGAAGACGAAATCATAAATATCAATGCTAAAAAAGACGGAATTAAAGGCAATGATATTGCAAATTTTAATTTACATAAAATTATTTCAGAACAGAAAATAGACATAGAATTAGAGTTCTTATTAAAAAAACAGAATTCAAGTAATAAAAAAGGAAGAAAATTTTTCTTAAGCAATGTAGAGGTTGAAACCCCAAAATTGAATCTTTGGTGCGAAACTTCAAAGGAAAAGAGCAGACCATACATTCCTAAGAGTTTACGTTATAGTATTTTTTTAAAGTTACATAACATAGCTCATACTGGATGTAAGGCCACTGTTAAATTAATAAATTCTAGGTATTTTTGGCCAAGGATGAATAAAGAAATTTATTCATGGTCAAAATGTTGTATTAATTGTCAAAAGGCGAAAGTGCTTAGACACACAAAATCACCTCTAGGAAATTTTAAAATTCCAGAAGGAAGATTCCAACATATCCACGTAGACTTAGTGGGTCCTTTGAAACCTTCAAGAGGTCATAATTATTTATTTACTGTTATTGATAGATGTACTAGATGGGTAGAAGTTTATCCACTTAAGAACATCAGTTCAGAATCAGTAATCAAAGTATTATTAAATCAGTATATAACACGCTTTGGTGTTCCAGTGTATATTACTCATGACCAAGGCAGTCAATTTGAATCTAGTATGTTCAAAGATTTTAGTAAAAGGTTAGGATTTCAAAGTATCCATACAACTACTTACCATCCTCAAGCCAATGGGATGATAGAACGTTTTCATAGAACACTAAAGGCATCGTTATCTGCAAAATTAATTTCGAATAATTGGTATGATGAATTACCTTTAATATTATTAGGGCTAAGATCTGCTATAAAAGAGGACTTACAATGTTCTTCTGCAGAATTGGTATACGGCCAAACTTTACGTTTGCCTGGTGAATTTTTCACGTCTTCAAATGAAGAGATAGATACTCATTCAATATTAATTAATTTGAGAGAAAATTTCAACAAATTAAGACCAGCTCCAGTTCAGGAACACGGTATAAGGAAAACATTCGTTTCTCCAGAATTAGAAAACGCAGAATACGTTTTCTTAAAAGTTCAAGGCATTAAAGCCGCTTTAAAACCTTGCTACGAAGGTCCTTTTAAAGTTATTCGTAGATCTGATAAACTTTTTACAATTTTAAAAAATAATAACGAATTAGTTATCAATATTGATCAGTTAAAACCTGCATTTTTATTATCGGATAATAATGAATCTATAAAAGAAGTTAAGAAAGTTACATTTGCATTAAATTAAATAGTTCATTATTTTTAGTTGTTTCATAATTTATATGTTATTTTTTTTTTTTAAAGAGGGGAAGTATTGTAGTGCTTCGTACTACATATTACTCTTCTCTCTGTCATAATTACGTTGATAGATAAATGTTATAACCTTAAACCAGTCATCTCCACTTTGTCATTTCGACGTTTTATTTTGTTATGTGAATGGCACTTTAGAATGTTTCGTGGTGGCATGAGACTCAATCCTGTTTCCTGCCAATGTCATAGAATTTCAAAGTTGATGACATTGGAAGTCACATCTGTTTTTGATTTGTGGTGTAGTAGGTGGAAAAACAATGGAGTGTGTGGTGGATAGCTGTGAAAAAAAAAAAAAAGAAAGAGCAGAACAGAAGAGACAAGAAACATCAACAAATTATTATTTTTATTTTTACATTTTTTCGAAGTAACATGTTCTTGACCTTTTTAATAAAAGAATTTTAAAAAAGAAATTTTAATTATATAGTTATTTTGGTACAGAGAATACCTATAATATATTTTGCAATTAAGGTGTCAATCAAAAAAAAGTATATTTTCTCTTATAATTAGTTAAAATGATATTATTCATAATTTATAGTCGTTAACATTACATTAGGTATCTATTGAACATATAGGAAGGTATCTTGGAATCGGAAAATTTCCAAAAAAAAATTAATTTTAAATACATATTATCTAAAATATATAACGAACAGACTCTCATAATAAACTCAGGTCTTTTATTATCCCTTATTTAATATGCTTTATTAATATCTTAGTCTAGCTTAGTATACCTCAGTATACCTTAGTATACATTAATATATCTAGGTATATCTTACTAATGCTGTAGCCAACAGCAAGTGTACTATTTGGTATACATACTTATTTATAGTTTGTTATTAATTTTAGGTTACATACAGTAATGGATTCCGATAAGGTATTAGTAATGGATGAAGGTTCAGCGATTGAATTCAATCATCCGTACATCCTTTTGCAGAACCAAGAAGGAATTTTTTACAGTTTAGTTAAGCAAACGGGGAAGTCCATGGCAGAGCATCTATGTAAAGTTGCTGAACAAGTAAGAACTAAATATTATTCTTTGAATTAAGCCAATATTACACTCATATGAATAGCATAGTTCACAAAGAACCTTTAAATTTACCATTAAAAAAAATGGTCCCAAATTTTGTTACTAACAATTTCATTTTCTGGTCACTGTGTGTGGGCATCCATCATCCAATGAAAATAAGTTTTTGTCCAGTATTTGCCTATTAACAGTTTCATTTAAATAAAACTATGCTTCGTCTAAAAATACTACATGCCATACAAATTATGGATCACATCACTCCATCATCACTTCTAAAAATTCCATCCTTTGATTAAAACCATCTTCGTTGAGCTCATGGACTAAATTAACTTTGTACGGGTGAAAATTGTTCTTTTTCAAATATTTTAAAACTGTAGATTTACTCAGTGAGTTTTCCTTTGCGATTTGTCTAATGTACTCATACTCTACCATTTTTTCCTTCGGGCCACATATTTATATTTGCTATGTTACAGGGGCCGGAATATTTTTGGATGATGACCCTTTATTTAGGCCATCCTTTTAAAATTAGTTGGTGGAAATCTCTAATAAATAAAATACAAAACAAATATACCCATCGGGTTACTGCAAAAACAAGATAACTCATATTTTTAGAGTTTAGATAAAACGCTATCCAAAAGTTTAAAATTGAATATAAAATCAGTAAAAGCTTTAAACCATTTAATAAACAATAAAAAAAGGTATTTAAAACATAATTAGTCTTCACAAAGTATAAACTAAGAATATGTCGATTTGCAACAAAAAAAAAACAAAAATAAGTCATTTTGTTTATTTTAGCTGTCTACATACAGTGTCATAATTTTCAATGCATGTGTCACTACCTTCAATGAAAGGTTCAGGTACCGTGTCATTAACATTATTGGATACAGGTAGATTGTGATAATAATGGTGAAATTCACCAAGTGTAGCACCTGATTTACAAAGTTTTAGTAAATCTTTCTTCTTGGCATTACTAATGTCTTGCACTTTTTTGTAAGTATTTTCAGAGCTTTTTTTGCCCTTGGGTTTTTAAGCAATGCAAAAAACTGGTGTTTCGGTGATTTAAGAAGTGCTTCTGCTCGTTTTAACGTAAAAACAATATGGAGACCAGCGTCAGCTTCCCCTTCGTTACAACTTGACCTATCACTCATTACGGCTTGATCAATCAATCAATCAATCATTCACCACGACGAATCAGGATCAAGTGTTATCATCTATTGGTTTTTGAAGCTTAGCTGTATCACGGAAAGAAAGGGTGACATAATCACCTTGTTGATTTCGGATCAATCGAGAAAGGCTAAAGACGGCTCTAAACGAAAAAAAATGGCTTGGGCAAATTGTTGAACTATTTCAACAAATACATTTAACAAACATAAGTGTTGTATCCTTCATCTTGTTTTAACAGAAACACTATTAGGAATGCAATATTTATTGTAAACCAAACCAATACATGTGAAAAACAAAGAAAAAGAAAACGATTCAAAATTTCTGACATAACATTTGTCTTTAATTCACAAACCAATGACTTTAGACTATAAGTATTACAACATTTTGTCATCTATTATTGGCGAGTTCAAAAATGAAGAAAAAAATAATGAGCGCGTTATATCAGAAGGGTGCAAGTGCCAGCATTGACGTTTTTAGGATTTTCGGACCCATGGGTTTATTAAATAAATCTCCTTGATATATCAGAAGGGCGTATGGTTTCATAAATTTTAAGTAGTTTTACTTTGGCGTATGAACCAATTTTGCAAAATTATAATATCAGTAAGGCGTCTCTTTAAAAGTTATCTCTTGGTTCATACGCCCTTCTGATATGACGCCCACGAAAGTGTTAAAATACTGTTACTTATTCCAACCTATACGACCTCACGATATATTTTATTGTATTAGTATTACTTTTTTGACGTCTTCTTTATTGTTTTGGTATCCTCATTACCACTTTAATTTATTTCATAATATAATCCTGAACTATATGCGTCTAATTTGTTTGTTTCTTTTTGTTTCAGAGTTACAAGAATTTACAGAAATAAATACTAAGCAACTAATTGTTCCTTTTTTTAAATGTGATATCTACTTATTTATTTATTCATTTCATTATTGTTGTTTATGTTTTAGAAAAATATTGATCTATTTTTATATATTAATTTGTACATAAAATATATTTTATTAGTTAAAACGTTTTTTATTTATTTGAAAGCTATTACTTTTTAATAGAAAAATAGTTATTTCTGTACCAAAGCCGTAAAGTTGTTATTTTTTGATTTGCGCCCAAGGAATAGCCGAGGCCAAAAAATATACGGCCGAGGTGCACAGGTTTGTTCCAACAGATCCTTTCTGATGTGTCTCAGACTCGTGCATGGATGAATTCGTATACTAATCACTGCGCATGTCAGTCTATTTATTCGTCCGTTGTTTTTTCAGCGACTTGTACTTGTTAAAACACAAAATCCAATGGAACTGGATAAACCAAACGCATGTTTGGTGAATAGGTATTTTAAACATTATTTAAAATACAAAATACATTTATTTAGTTTTATCGAACGATCTAGATGTTTATTTTTATTAAAAAAAAGTACATATTTTACATAAAAAAATGTATACAAGATAGAAACAAAAATTAATAGATATAAAAACACAAGCCACTCCAAGCTAACTTAAAACCACAACAATAACAAACAAAAATAGCACGAACGAGAAAAGACGTTGAAATGCGCATGTGCTGATAAATTGTACAAGCGATGAAGCTCTGGTACCCTATTCTTAAACTCAGGAGAGTGTTCCTAATCGAATTTTCCATCATCAGTGTTGCCAGATAACCAAAATCAAATTTTTGTACTATGCTGTAGAAATGATCGTTATTTCATGTTTTTATCGTACAAACTGACCATACTAGTGTGACACTATCGAAGGCTGGTTTATGTGGTTAGGGTAATTTGATAATAATTGTTTATAATAAATACATAAAAAAAACTAACACAACCTATTCTTGTTCAGCTAAAGTTTCAATAATTGTTCTTCTAATCCTTTTTGATTTTGATCTTGCTATACATTTTTAAAGATGTTGTAACCTACTGCACCCAGGTACCTTAATAAATTATTGATTCCATTTATTAAATATCATAGTGCATTCTTATTAAATTCAAAATCCTTCATTTAACGAAAAATCTCCCAGATAATTAAATCTTATTTACGACATCTAATAAATAATATCTATAATCACGTCCGTAAGAGATCCAATTTTTATGCAAGTGTCTGAGAACCGGCTTAAGAAACACTTAACGCAATTATCTTAAGTGCATTTGAATAGAAACGTTGTTTTCGATACACAAAACTTTCGAGGCAAGTAATAAATCAGCCACCTCCTTACAATCCACATTCATTTTTCGCTGGGAACTAAGACACACAGAGACGTTACAAAAATCCATTAAAACTGCTATAAGAACTCGGACCAAAATGAGCTCGGACTCATTCATTTTTTATTATTGGATGTGCAAGAATTCATTTTATTTTTTACATTCAAGCAATCACTTTATTATTTGTATCCAGTTATATAGTCTGTACCTTTCCTAAAACGCTCTTCGTAAACAACGTCTATCCTACAATACCTCCTATCCCCGAAGGTATCAACGTCTCGACGCCCAACGTCCTGCCGTCCTAGTTCCCGATCTCTACGCAATCACTTCTAACACCACTTTAGTATTTCCTACCATTATATTCACTCTGACGCTCAACGTCCAGACGCCCTACTTCCCTATCTATCTACGTCTCGAACGCTGTCATATTCCGCATTTTCTAAGTATTTCCTACTTTACATCCATTCCGACGCCCAACGTCCCACTGCTCTACTTACTTCTCGACGCTTGCCGCCCCTTAATATTTCCTTCACAATATCCTTGTCGACACCCTTCGTCACGTCCCGCATCATCTAAATATTTCTACCGTATATCTGCCTCAATGAAGTATCGTATTAAATACCTTCCTTTCCACTACGACGTTAGGCACCTCGACGCAAGGCGACTTTCAACGCTGCGACATACCTAAATCGACGCCGTCACAACGCTAGATGAAATTAGTACACAATATAATGCCTGTATTTTCAATGGTGAGTAAAAAGATTTATGTAATTTTCTTTAAGATACCACCGGGGTTTTTTCAAAATATCATCAATGTAACCAATAAACCACATGGCCTTCAAGTCATACATCCCGAAAGAGAGTTAGGATAGACATCTGTTTCGATGGGTCAATTTAAGTTAATTCAATAGAAATTATAAAAATCAATATTAAGAAATATACAAGGCTGTATTAAGTTATTTTAATAGAAATTATAATAATTAATATTAAAAAATATACAGGGTTGTATTAAGTCATTTTAATAGAAATTATAAAAATCAATATTTTAGAAATATACAGGGATGTGCTATCTTGAAAAAATTGTACAAACCAAGACGGTAAAATTTAATAGTAAGTTAACCAACTGGTAAATACATTGTTCGTTAGCTCAAGGGGGACACCCATTCTACAAGGTTTGAAACAAAGTATATGTGAAATCAACATAGTAAGGTAACCAACTGGTGAATTGGCGTTGTTCGTTACTTCCGTTGGTCATCACCTCTATACTCATAGAAATATTTACCTAAGAGGGTGCAACCTGTGTATATCTAGAATAGAATCAAATCAACATCAACATAGTAGTTAACCAACTGGCGAATTGGCGCTCTTCGTTAACTCCGTTGGTCAACAACTGAAATAAGAATTTAAACGTCAACACAGTAGTTAATCAACTGGCGAATTGACGCTGTTCGTTAACTACGGAGGTCATCAACCTAAATAAAATATATCTTGATAGAAAATGAACGTGATCCGCGTTTAAACGGGACTCAAGTAAGATCTCAATAAATAGTACCAATTGTAATAATATATTTTGCACGAAGCCGCGCAGCGAGTGCGTTACAATTTTGGGTCAGTCTTTTCACCTTCAAATAAAGTGGCAGGTAATTTTTATATCCGAAATAACTTAAAACGTAATCTTTTAACTTCTGGATAAATCTAACTTCTGAAAGATAACTTATCTTATGGAATTCTTAATAAAATACTTCACTGATGCATAAACAGGTAGCTACATAACCACATAAGGTTAAAAACTACTGGATGATTTGAAAAATAGTAACTCTCGGATAATATATCCGTCAGTTAGTTATCTGGAACTTTATCTGAAGGTGAAGAGACCAACCCCTAGTGAATTTCATTTCATCTGTAGGTTTGAAACTTACACATCCATTACCCAGGATTCCCGCACTTTCCTTATGTAAAGTGATGACCGGTTAAATTTTCTGAAACTTTGGTATGTTATTGTACTCAACCTAGTTAACAAAAGTATCAATAGGATCAACTAAATCCTATGACTGATTTTCGATAAACAGGATGTTAAAGTTGAAAATGGCTTAGATTTTAGAAATTTTTATTTCCAAAATTGCGAGCTAGATTGAATTTCTGTTGCATACACACGTTTACTACGTTTTATTATTACATTAGCACCTATGTACAATTAAAAATAATTTTAGTTACAGGGTGATTCATAATGTATGACTAATTTTTTTCAATGTTTAACTTTTGTAAGTCCTAGCTTTCCTTGTATACTTTCTATTCTTTTAATAAAACACTTATTATTACTCCTTCTGTATTTTATTAGATGATTGTGGATTATACTTTTATTATAAACAATAATGTGCATACATAAAACGTGACATCAAACTTCAACAACAACTGACATACAGTACTCCCAATATAATAAAACTTAAAACTAATACAATTTAAAGTGCGTTCCGAAATAAGATTTTAGCGGATTATTCAACAATTTTAACTATGATGTCAGTGAAGCATAATTCTAAAAAATAAAAGATTTATAAATTTTTTATAATGGATGCCTTATAAAGAAAATCACAACATAAATTATTTTTTTCTATGATTCATTCATAACCCTGTACTTAATTGAATTTTGGGAAAAGTAATACCACTTAAATATGTGTACCTCTAAGGTTCAAAATATATAAGGTGATTTATTTGTTAGAAGATATTCCATTTTAAGAAAAGTACAAAAACCTCGGTAAAATGTAACTATTTTTTCATATAATGCTCTTACCACCTTTTTATGAGATCCAATACTATGACTAGTTTTCGAGATACAGGGTGTTTAAGTGGAGAATTGCTGATTTTAGTTATTTTTTTTCAAACTGAAAAGCTAAATTGATTTTATGCAGCATATATAAGTTAAATATAAAATTTGGTTCATAAGAAGAGACTTTAAAATATTTATTGTTACTGTTACAGGGTGATTCATGAATAAATCACGCTATATTTTTGCAACTTTATTGTCCCGTGTATAAAACTTGTCACAAATATCGGAAAATGATGTATGTACTGATATATTTTGTAGGTCATTGTTAGATTACCCTGTATATTTTATAATCTAATATAACGTTATTAACTAATTCAAAAGTCACTAAAGAAATGTATGGTCCCTTTTTTATAATTTTAAAACATAATTTTTTTGTTGGCTGGATGGTTCACCCTGTACACAATTACACATAGCTAAATCTTTTGACCTCAAAATTGTGAACGAGTAGATAATAACTCAATGAATTAATTTATGTGGCGCAACTGTAGAGATATTGAGTGTTTGCAAAAATATATTGTGATTTATTCGTGAATGACCCTGTAACAAATATTTTAAACGGAATGGACATCTCGCCAAAACTTATATTAAACTTATTTATTCTACATAAAGACAATCTAGCTTTTCAGTTGGAAGAAAAAATAACTAAAATCGCCCTGTATCTCTAAAACTGGTCATAATATCGTATATAAAATTTTATTGTAAAATAGAGGGTCTGTTTAGATTTCCATACCTATATACAGATCAGACTAAAAAATAATCTTAAATAGATAAAAAAAACAATTTATGTAGGACCTTAATAAATTATGAATTTTATTTTTAAAATATACACTAGAAGTTTTTGTTATCAAAACAAATCAAAATTATTCTACCGAATTAATGTTGATAAACAACATTATAATGGACTGCTTGTAATGTTTCAGTGCACTGTTTAATATTTTATAAACTTGTTCTATGTTTATTTATTCCGTGTT